GATTGGGGGGTAACAGCTGACGTTATACTCATAGAAAGGATTGTTGGATAACAGCTGACGTTATACTCATAGAAAGGATTGGTGGATAACAGCTGACGTTATACTCATAGAAAGGATTGGGGGTAACAGCTGACGTTATACTCATAGAAAGGATTGGTGGATAACAGCTAACGTTATACTCATAGAAAGAATTGGTGGATAACAGCTGACGTTATACTCATAGAAAGAATTGGGGGAGATCAGTTGTCTTTCCTACATTTTATGTGGGGTATAATATACACACGGCATTCCCAGAAATTAAGTCACACTTACCCCACTCCCCTCCCCCATAATAATAATCAAACAATCCTAAATGAGACATTTTGTACTTCCCAAGTTATTTCGCTGAAAAATTATTGAAAGTCAGACTTGTTTGTTTCAGAATCTTTGAACAAAGCATTTGTATTTAAGGCAAAGCTTCAAGGCTATCCGCCGCCGTCCCTAATTTTGAACTACTGACCAGAAGAAAGCCAACCAATCAGCTACCATTCACCATCCATGCTAAGGGATTGACTGTCGCTCTTACAACACATCCACAACTTAAGATGCAGAGAATATTTTGCGGCACCGCATGAACTCGAATGCGGATGGGAAAGTTTGAGTTCTACCACTGGTCCATCCCGCGCCCTCACATAAAGCTATTGAAAGAGTTATCTGCCCATAGCCATCCCTAATTTTGAACAGTAACGCTCAAAGCAAGGCAACAAGTCGACAGGAACCACCATCAACTCTCGAATTTCTCTTGTCTAGCCTTCACTCTTGTATAGCCTTCACTCTTGTAGCATACGGTTGCGTACTCATATTTCTAAAGAGCGTTTTTGAAGCAACGGTCCATCCACCATTTGCGTCAAATTACTCAAAAAGTAAGTTTATTTGCATCTGTAAAATTCCAGGTTTCGTGGTTCTGGCATCTCGTATAGGCACGGTTGTGCTAGAAACCAAATGAACTGTATCTTTTTTTTAATACAGAATCTTTTAAGTTCATGAAAACCAAAATAAGATTTAAATTAGTACAAAATATAAAATCTAAAGCATTTAGTTTTGCTACACTAGATGGAGCCACAAGAGTAACAACATGTTTGTTGATTCAACCACCCTTATCAATAACCAATAAAAAATTTAGCTGTCGGTTACTAAGAAACGAATATTTCAAAGTAACCGTGATCCTATTCACAAAATCAGCTGCTTGTATCGCAAAATGTAAGAGTTGGTAATTATTAAACGTGTGCAGAAGCAAAGTACACAAGTCGGTCATATATATTCATATATAAAGTTATATGCCGTTGCGTATCATTTGAGACTACTCAATATTAGAAAAAACAATTTCCCATTCATTTCATAATTCAATTTCTGACTTTTTTGTCGAACAATTTCCAAATTTATCGAAGTAAGCATTCATTTCATAATTCAATCTCTGACTTTTTGTCGAACAATTTCCCAATTTATCGAAGTACGCATTCATTTCATAATTCAATTTCTGACTTTTTGTCGAACAATTTCCCAATTTATCGAAGTAAGCATTCATTTCATAATTCAATCTCTGACTTTTTGTCGAACAATTTGTCAATTTATCGAAGTAAGCATTCATTTCATAATTCAATCTCTGACTTTTTGTCGAACAATTTCCCAATTTATCGAAGTAAGCATTCATTTCATAATTCAATCTCTGACTTTTTGTCGAACAATTTCCCAATTTATCGAAGTAAGCATTCATTTCATAATTCAATCTCTGACTTTTTGTCGAACAATTTCCCAATTTATCGAAGTAAGCATTCATTTCATAATTCAATCTCTGACTTTTTGTCGAACAATTTTCGTGAAAACATCATAAAGGCATAAGTACTAACAAAGGTCATATCGGGGGCTCCTTATGAATCAATAAACGAAACCAGTATATTAATCATGAAATTACCGCTTGGGTCCATAAGACCCAGGTGCTTTACAAAGACATTCTTAAATTATGTATGAATTAAATTGCTTGTGGGTCCACTTTAGGAAGAAAAAAAAACATTGCAATATGTAATTATACCGTTCAACGTATCCAATATGACTAAATTTTGTCCCTGACATCTACTAAGCAGATGCAATTCCTGTATTTATAATGTATGTATTACAGTGACATAGCTTTGTATTAATAGGAAGGTTTTCTCAGTTAGAAACTGACTCAGACGCTGGTCACGTGAGTTCAGTTGTACATCCAATGTTACGTATTGATCATGAGCCTGCTCACAAACGGACACGAGTTCGCACGGTGTTTAGAAATACACGACTCTTCTAATGTGGCAGTCACATGCAAGTATTGATATATAATTTGTGTACAAACACGTTTCTTGTTGTTAAATACGGGGTATTTTTTTCGAAGGTATTGTTCTTTTCATACACATACGATATAAATCTAAATATACACTTTGAGCTCACCTTTGTTCACGAAACCAAAAATGTCATTGACGTATTAAGTTGCTGGTACACTACAGATAGCAATTTTATGTATGCTGATCTTTGTGAGCGTTGGTTGCTGATAAACTCAGAGAAGCCCTACAACTGTACACACTGTAAAAGTTTGTATAATCAATATAGCGGTTTAGCAGAGAATTTTTACTGGCTAATAGCCATCACGTGCTTGAGCAGAAGCTTCATAGAAATATGTATAGAATGTCTCCTACCCAAAGGCTTCAGGTCAACAATAACTAGCAACTAAAATACAAATTAGTAACGGTACACGTTTAATTTTTCAGTCGCTGAATAACAAATAAAGTTTGTGTATTTTGTACTGCGGTTTTCTCAAAATAGGAAGGAACTATTTGGCTCCTTTTATGAAAGCATAAAATCTTAAACCTGTTCAAACATGGTTGATCAAATCCAGTTCAAAATTGGAAAGAACTGTTTGGCTCCTTTTATGAAAGAATAAAATCTTAAACCTGTTCAAACATGGTTGATCAAATCCAGTTCAAAATTGGAAAGAACTGTTTGGCTCCTTTTATGAAAGAATAAAATCTTAAACCTGTTACAAACATGGTTGATCAGATCCAGTTCAAAATTGGAAAGAACTGTTTGGCTCCTTTTATGAAAGAATAAAATCTTAAACCTGTTACAAACATGGTGATACACGATACCTAGTTCAAAACTTTAGGA